CCCTGACCAACAGCTGGTATTTTGCAGCCGAGTCCTCACATTTCTACTCTGCCTCAGCCATCTACGGGAACAGCGCCGCTTACTCTGCCTACAGCTGCAGCCAGCTGCCCACGGGCTGCGAGCAGGCCTGCGCTGTGCGCAGGAGGGCAAAGCAGGGGGACCGAGGGGACTCCAGGAGGAGCTGGCACGAGGAAAGCTCTTTTGAAAAGCAGTTTAAGCGCAGAAGCTGCCAGATGGAGTTTGGGGAGAGCATCATGTCAGACAATAGATCCAGAGAAGAACTGGGGAAAGTAGGCAGTCAGTCAAGTTTTTCAGGCAGCATGGAAATCATTGAAGTGTCCTGAGGGGCAGCAGGCTTGTGTGACTGTATCAGAGTTGCTTCCCTCTCCAGGCTGCTCCCCCAGCATTTGAGAGATCCCTGTAAATCTGAAACTGTGTGTAAAAAGGTGGGGGGAGGGAAGAACCTTGAGGCTTCAGTGTGAATGCAGCAAAAGGTTAGCACCGCAAAGAAATGACGGGCAAGCGTCTGCCCGAGGACACCAGATGTACCACTGGGTTTTTCTCCTCTCCTCTCCTGAAGAAGGGCAGAACACTTCAAAGGTCTTTCCCTGATAGAGGAAGCAATTGTATGCAATGGATTGCACAGCATTTCAGTGGGTTTTATAAAGGAAGCTCTCTTGGCATCAACCTTGCTCTGGTTCCACTGAAACACGTTCCTACCTGTCAAAACTAGTTTTGTTCTCCCCTCCTCATGCCCCATATGTTCACCAGTGCACCTTAGCCCTGACACTGAGCCAACCTCTGGAGGGAGACCTTTTTTCTCTAAGAAAGGAGACTGGGAGCAATTCCAAAGGACATAGGGACTGGTTACAGCAAAGCTTGTCTGAACACACATTTCAGACAAATGTAAATACTGGTGTAACTATTGTTCTAATGGATAGGCTTTAAGTGATTTGCTAGAGAGCTGCTTCAGAGAAAAAAACAGTACCTCAAAAATATAAAAAACAAACTAGGGCTTTATGGCTGCCACATGCTGGTAGTCAGTTCATCAGCAATGTGAACAAGTAACAACTAGCCACATTTGATTATTTTTTTTAAAGCTGTCTACGCACAACTGTTTCAGTTGGTTCAGCAGCAATGCCTAAAAGAAGATGAATGAACCATACTTAGGACTGTTTCCCCCAGTCTTTTGATACAGTATTCGTATTTTTTATATTAAGCTGGCTTCTGGGAGAGGGGTAGTTGCTTTGGCTTCTAAGCTGTAATGGAGTGGTTGATAGGTAGGGTTACATGCAAGAGAAGTGGCTGCTACAGGTGGCCACAACATGCTTTTCTTGCCAGTTAATAATTCAATAGGAGGCTCTTGAAGGCTTTTTTGGTTTGGGGTTTTTTGTTTTGTTTTATTTGGGTTTTTTTTGTGGTTTTTAAGATAAAAATGGGGTAGGCTTTTATCCTTAACTGAGCAGTACCACTGAGGAACTGCTCTTCATTTATGGTCCCGGTCCTACATGGGGTGGGGGCAATGCAAGTAGTTGGGTTTTATTCCATTCCAACATGGATTGAGACTGGCTTCTCATTAGTTTTGCTGACTTCATCAGATAAAGGGAAGTCTGGCTGGCTGCCCAAGGAAAACAGAAGGGGGCTCCAGTGTCCCATCTCATAGTGTGTGTGAAGGAAAGGGGGTTTGAGAAGGGACAGCTTTCCATTAAGGGAAGCCACTCCCCTCCCACACTCACAGCTTCAGAGGAACTCGATCCTGGCCATTGTTCTCTGTCCCAGTGTAGGATCTTGGTTTCCCAGCATGCTGATGTGTGATTTGTCTGCAGATGCTCAAGGCTGTACCGTGTCCTCCCTCATCACTCCAGAGAAGATGCCAATGTGAGGAGGTGCCACATCCCTGCTGACAAGGGGGTGTTTCACTGAAGATTAGGCACAGCCCTTCTCATGTTGTTTTTGACAGCAACCCAGCTTCTTCCCCTCCAGCTCCCATTCCTGCGGTAGCTGGGCTGCCCTGCTCACGTTGCTGCAAGAGATTTGTGGTCAGTGAGGGGTGGTACCAGAGGCACTGAGTAAAGCTTCATCCTTCATGCTCTGAGGGAAGCTGCACATGTCTTACCTCGGTCTTTCCCAGCTTCCCCTCAGAAAATGTGTATTGAGGGGAAACTATATTTTTTTTGTCCCATTTCAGTGCAGGCAGCTGAAAATTGTACATCACATGAAACAAACACTTAAACCCTGGCCAACAGCTTTAAAAAAAAATTTGTCAGCAGCAACCTGAAGCCCTAATTCAAGTGAGCAGCTTGGGTTATTTTAGGGGTTTTTTTACTGTAAGTTTAGTTAGTTTGTGACTCAAATCTCAGGTTTTACTATATTGAAAAGTGGAGAAGATTTTGTCATTGATATGTTTTGTGGCTAGGATGTGACTTTAATTTCCTACGGTGGACTGTTGAAAATAGCACTGAAAGCTACAGCATTGATTAACTTAATCCTAAAAAGTGCAAAAGGCACAGAGAGAGACAGCACCAGGAGGCTCTGTTTGGGCTGTGTGTACGAGATATTGGAAGAAGAGGTAGCCCAGGCAAGGGACAGGTTGACATCACACATATCAGGTGTTCATTAAACATACTGGCACTTGTCTCTGTTTATGTATCAGGTGAAAACAATTACATTACAACTCTTTTCAGCATATATATACACATATTCTGTGTGTATATACCTATGTAAACAGTTTAACAGTGCTTCCTCCAGGAAAAGCCCATGTCTGTGATTTAAACCAGTTAATGGGGGTTAACACATATCAATCCCTGAAGACAGAAACAGATTCTTCCTATCTTTTGTGCTCCTTCAGACATGTGTGTTCCCCCCTTCTCTATGTTTGGGTTTTGGGTCTTCTCCTGTGTTTGGGGTTTGTTTGCTTGATTGCCCTCTGAGGAACTGAAATCTGGTCTTGTGGCTCCTTGTGATTTCCAGTACACTCTAGTCCCTGAATGAATCAAAGCTGTAGGTTTGGTATTTTCAGGGGATAAGTCCCCACAGGAGGAAGCCTTAACCCCATGTCCCACACAGGGTGGTGCCCTGGCTCCTATCTAAACTAGAGTCCTGTCCCTGAACAATACTGGAAATGGTTTGTAGAAGTCTGGAAGGCAAAGTGGAGGATGTGAGAGGGGAAATGTGTACATGTTCAATATGAATATAATCTGTGGCCATTGGTGTATGGCATACTTGGCATATTTGGTTTATGGCAAGCTATTCAAATGGTTCAGAGAGATGTGAGTTTCTCATCTTGTTGTGTCATGAGAATTACCTGTATGTATGATGAAATAAAATCAGAAATGGTACCTGTTTATATAGAAGGGCTGAGGAAGGAGTTGTGGAGTGTGCATTACCTGCCTGCAGTACAACCTGCTCCTAAGTAGGCAGGACGAGCAGGGGGCTTGTCCTTTATCATACATACCCTTCTCTGCAGCTGTGCCTGCTCATGAATTACATGGCTTGAGCAGCTTTGCACCACTTGTCACAAGCAGCCATGATTTTATAGCACCAGTAACCATTTAGGCCTCTTACCTGTTCCTGAATACCCCACCTCTTCTGCTCCCTTGAAGAGCAACAGTGGCACTTCTCTGCATGTAACACAATAACAATGTCTAATACAGTTTTGAGTAACCTGTTCCTCAGGCAGCTGCGTTAGTCTTGTTGAAGCAAGTATTTCAAATGGATTAAGTTACCTAGAATGATCCCCCTGGTTTGGTTTTTTTTTTTTTGCCTCCCATACTTCTTATTTGAAGATTAATGTAATTACTTGTTTAAATACTTGTTTTGACTGATTCTGTCAGTCTTGAAGCATGCAGAGCAAGTTGTGCTTGCTGAGATTGGAGTACGCCCCTCATTGCTGCTTCAGAGAATAGCTCATACAAACTACAATGTTTGTGTAACAGCATCTTCAAACTCAGGTGCAGTAGCAGAAGGTTTTTCTTTTCTTAAAAAGAGAATATCAAAGCATAATCCCAGAGAGGGAAATGCAGAATTCTTAGCCTCCCTAAAAGAAACTAAACCATCAGCCAGAGCACAAGTAACAACCTATGTGAGTTTCTGTGCTTATTTTCTACAAACAAGATGTAGCAACTCTTACACAGAAACCTGCCTCAGATAGAGTCCATCCATCACCACCTCAGACCTTCCCTGGCTTTGGGGACTGCTGGGTGAGCAGTTCTCCTTCACAGAATCAGAATCACAGAATACTGAGTTGGAAGGGACCCACAAGGGGTGAATGGCCCATACAGGGATCAAACCCACAACTTTGTCATTATTAGCACCACTTTCTAACCAACAGAGCTAATCTCAGGGTTCCTGTGGATCAGGCTGTCCCGTGCAGGCTCACGTATTGAAGAAGTTAAAACCTAACTGTGGCAGCTAAAAGCAAGCCAACAGCCGCCACAGAAGGATCACAGACCAGCTGAAAGAGGCTAAACTTGCGCTAAAAGCAGAGTCTGACCCATTCAGTGAAGTGCAAGGAACTGGGAGGAGGAGATGAGCAGCCAGCAGGGCAGAGGCCAGCCTGGAAGTCAGCCTGTCCAAGGATGCCCAGCTCCAGCTTCTGTGATCTGGCGAAGAACTGATGTAAAGCATCTGTCAGGACATGGTCTCTATTTGACAGGAAGATATGTGTGGGAGGAAAGAATAAAAGAAACAGGATATACTCTGCTGCTCATGCTTAATCTTCCCACTCAGGCTTGGGAAAGCCGCTGAGTGCACACAAGGTGCAAGTGCCCTAACAAAACAGGCAGTTGTCTCACACTGCCAGTGCTTTGCACAGGGAAACTGCATTCTTACACAAGTCTTGAGTTCTTGATCCCAGATCCTCATCACCTCCACGAGGTTGCCAGCACAGAAAAGGTAGGCAGCTAGCTTAACTACAGTCCCACCCCACTGCTGCTGAGTCCCAAGCATTGCCGCTCACATCACATGTTTGAACTGGACATCAGTGCCAACCAGAATTGGGGTGGTACTGGAAGAAAACCCAACATTTATTTTCACTCTGGGATACGTTTCCTTACAGTCCCAGGGCAGGGGCAGCCCCAGGGCAAGTGAGACCAGCCATGTCCACAGCATGAAGGTGGGTTCTGGGTACAAAGCAAAGCTCAGCACTGTCCACATAGGTCACGGCAAGAAGTGGTGCACTGAAAATGAAAAATAAGCAAGGCAATTGGAGAAACAAAACACTTGGGAAAGAGCCACACCAAATGTTTTACTGCTGGAGCTGTGGAACATGTAAGCATGTAGGGAGCTGAACAGAGAGCAAATGTGCAAACAGGATAACCACTCATAAACCATGGAGCGCTCAGCCATAATGTTGGGAATCAAAATGCATGCTGGCAGCTTGGGAACAGCAGGGACAGTACAGTGGTACCTCAGGACACCACTGGCACACAGTCAGAGAGAGGGGCTGGCTCATACAGTGCATGGGCTTGAGAAAAACATGTATTTCTACTCTTTCTGTGTAAAAGCTTAGAGGAGGGAAAAAAACACACTTTAAATATTTCAGTATAGTTAATTTAAAATGCATTTACTTAAAAAAAACAAACATGAAAAGTCTTTTCCGTCCCCTTCACCAGATCTTCACAGAAATTGCCCTGCAGATAGGTTGGCACTTTACCACCCTGTCAATGCATTCAATTACAAAAACAGAACAAAGCAAATCTCTTCTGCACAGGCAGCACACTGACCAGTGTGGGATGCAACAAACACCAGTGGCAGCACAAGGGGAGAGTTGCAACAGCAGTCAGGGGAAGGACCAAAGCAGTTCAGGCCAGCAGGGAACCACAGACTCAGAGACTCACTCTCCTCCCCAGCTTTTCAGAAGATTGCATATCAAGAACCTTACCTTGTGCCCCAAACCACACACCACTTCAGAAAGCAGAAAAGGGCAGAAATGTCTGGTTTCAGTGGAGCACACCAGATTATTCTCTGTTCATAGCACTAAATTTGTGGTAGAAGTAACAGCTAGCACATTTGTGAAAGATACCTGAGGCCTCCTCCAAGAGCATTTGGCTTGGAAAAGGAAATTCATAAGCAGAAAGGTAATTTCAGTCACATCTCAAATCTCCTGCTAAGCAGCATGGAGTGAAGAACAGTCTCACCCTGAGCATCACCTGCACCTGAAGCTGAAAGCAGCGTGTAGAGCAAAGGCAACAAGGAGCAGCCAAGCAACAAACAGCAGCTCAAGAAGATGTGGCATGAGGCATCTTCCCCTCAGCAAGAGGGCCAAAGACTTACAGTTAATGAAGGCCATGACAATGTTTTAAATAAAGCTGTAAACCATTGCTTGAGAACAGTTAGAGGGTGCATGCTGTCTTACAGTACCCATACAAGTGACTATCCTGTGGAACGGAGGTGATGACATATGAGCTTTGGAAGAGGTTCCCCTTCACGTTTCAGCTCTGATTTCTTTCTAGTTAAGCTAGTAGGTCTTTCACAATCTGCCCTTGCTGTATTGAAAGCTCTACCTATGAGGCCCAGCAGCACAGCCAGTGTTCCTAGGAACAAGCATTTTCTCCCATTCTCAGCCCAATGCCCAGGTGTTTTTCAGCAAATGAGGAAGGAACTGATTTGCAGCCCTCGGTCCTGCAGCCTTCAGATGGGAACACTATTCATTTGCCCTCATTAGAACTGCATGGAGCAATGCTTTTATCTGATACTTAATGGCATGAGGCTAGATGTCTAGAAACCTTACGCGAGAGAGCATCTTACAGGAGAGAACATCTCAAGGGCCCTGCCTTGAGATCCAGTATCAGGATCTTCCCACTAGCATAGGCTTCCAGCACACCAGGGTGTGGGATATTAAATGATCCCGTCTGGCAGACAGCTGAATGTTGCCCATTTTAAACATCCAGACAGCATCATTTGGACAAACAGGACAAAAATTACTGCAGCTGCTATTTAAAGCAGTTCAATATTCTTGTATGTCTTGATGGCAGAAGGCAGGGACACATTCCATGATGGACAATGACGACTCGCCTGGGCATGGCCATGACAAGCAGGTTCTCATGGGTTAAGTCTCACACTGTAAGCTTTTAACAAACCAAGTGTAAAATAGGGCAGGAAGCTTGAACAAGGATGTTGTATCCCATGCAACATACAGCATATGCCTACGTACATATTACTGTGTAAAACCTCTGGGGTGGGAGCAGCAGGCAAGGAGGCCTACTCTGCTGCCTTTGCTAAAAAAATCTCCTGCTGAGTTCCTTGGCCTCTCTGAAGCAGTCAATTGCTCTTCCCAGGGCATCATTCTAGGGGGCTTAATTTCTATAGGACTCCGCTTTCAGACAGTGTTCAGCAGGCCCTGGGGTCCAACCACCACTGTGGTTCAGATGCACATCAGTTTGCTGCAGTCTGCATCACAAAAATTCACTCTACACTACATGGCCTTTGGGAATGCAACAAGAGAACAGCCTGTTGCTTCTTGCCACCAGGCAATAATTAATATCATCAAAAACCTACTGCATTCTTATTTCCAAATGCTCAGAGACAACCTTTTGCTGATTAAATACTCTTAAGTACCAAGATGTATCAAAGCAAGTTGCCTTTGGCAAGTCACCTAGCCTTGTGCTGTACTGGAGGCTGGTTTGTCTCTGACTCTCAAAGAGGGCCGTCCTCACCACTGCAACTGCACTCCTGACATACAACCACCCTCGGGGTTCATGGGCACTTCAGCCTCCTCACCAGCAACAGCATCCTGGGTCCAACAAAACAGACACAAACTTACCCTGGCCCAGCAAATCAAGGGCTCCTCACTCCTGGTTACATTCTCTTTCTGCTGCAACAAGAGCTGCCATGCACTGGTGATGCAGGCTGTTAAACCCAATTTCTAGATCTATAAATATTTTTACAGCAGCATGTAAAATATCCCTGTTTTACACAGGGGGAAACCAAAGCTCAGAGAGGTGCTGCAAAGTGCCTGCAGCCAGCAGACCAGCAACAGACTTGGCAACTACCCTGTCTCCTGTGGGTCAGCCCAGCAGCCAGGCAGCATGGATATGCTGCCTGCCTTCCAGCAGTGCCCTTGGCTTCCTTGGGAGAAGGCAAGAACATCCTGTTGCCTTTGGAGCAGGTGGCTGAGAACAGTCCCCAAAAGGCCGTGTGGTTTCAGTCATGAAACAGCACGCTTAGGCCAGCTCTCAGCACAATGGCAGCTAAGCCAGTGCAAAGACCCAAAGGACTTCTTGTGTCTCTCCACTCCATACCCCAGACAGTAAAGAAGCAAGTGCACCTCTCTGGTAGAAAAGACAGCACCAAGATAACTGGAGCGTCCCAATAAAAAAGACACCTCATGTCCAACTTTGGGATGGAAAGTGAGCAGGCTGGTACCAGTGCCTGTCAGAAGAACATGAAATGCCACCAGCTGGGGCATGGGGACATTGCCAGGGCAAGGGGGAAAGGAACACTGAAGCTTGCTTAACATTAACTACATACATATCTAGAACAGTTATTCCTTTACAGGCTCATAAATTAGTGAGTCCATACAAACAGGAGCCTCGAGGACATGCCAAAACCCTGCAATGCAAACCATATTAATTATGATAATAGGTAGATTTTAATAAGCCAGTTCCTGGTTCTTACACTTTCACCTATAAAATACACGTATTTCCAAGGCCAGGGGATGTCAGAAATACCTTCCAGCCATCTGATCGTCTAAACCCCAGTGGCACAAAAATCATGTCAGAAGGTTCACACACCCTGTATCCCTTTGAATTTTTTTAGTAAAAAACAAAAATTCAGATGAAAGAAAATTCCTCCTCTGTAAACCCCAACAGCAATGAAACAAATGTCTCTGCACAGGCGGTGGTAGTGGTAAAGGAGACAGGAGGCCAAGAGAAGGGAGATGAAAGAAATGTAAATCATCTTCTCCAGACGACAGGACAGGGGAGCTCCTGGATTCTTGGCTGTGCAGTTCTGGCAGCTGATGCCGTTCTTCCTCCGATGCCCTGGCAGAGTCAGGCAGCACTGCTGTCTGCTTCAAACATCTGCCAATCCAGCCTATTGGAAGCGTGTCTGTGCTGAACACTGGAGCATGGAAGATGAGGAGGGGCAGCCTGCTGGGTCAGCTAGGACTTCAGCTCCCGGTCAGGTTTCATGCTGAAGGGCTCCAGCCTCTCGCTCTCCGGCAGCATGCTGTTCAGTCGCTCCATCAGCGGGATCGTCTGGTCGATGCCCATCTGGATACGGCGAAGGATGGCAGACATCTCATTGACCTTCTGGATCTGCTCCGCATACTTGGCATACTTCTTCTGGCGCTCCTGCATGAAGCTGTAAAGAGTTTCCACAGAGAGGTCCATCTGTTTAAAAACAACAAGTAGAGCAAGGCACATTAGGCCAACTGTTGCTGGAGACGTTTCAGTACTCTGTCTTTCCTAAAAGCAACCAAGAACCACCTTAGATGCCCCACTGGAGATACCAGACAGGTAGAAAAGAGCTCCTCGGAAGGTACATAACCAGTTTGTCGCTAAATGGGGTTCATAGTTGTACACCAGGGGTGACATATGACAACCTCAGCTCTACACCCAAATACCTAATCAGAAGATTCTTTATCTGCAGGACTGAAAGCCAGCAGGCACTGCCAGGGATTTCCCAATAAACCAATATACATATCCTCCAAGTTACACAAACTCAGGGAACGCATGGCCTCTGCCTACACCTATAGTATATTTTCACTGGAGATTGTTCATTTGCAAGCATTAAGCTCTGCCATACTTGCCAGTGCTAATTTTCCTTGGTTTAGCCAGGTTACTCTGCAACTAAGCCACAGTCATCTGGAAAACTCCTGCCTTGAGAACCACAATGGATTGCTACTGTCCCTAATTTCCCTGAAACCCAAAAATAAGGAGTGTTATGAGTGACCCCCAGAGAGACATTAAGTAAATTAGCCATGCAATTAAACACAGTCAGTACCCAAACATAGCTCAAGCATGATGACAATGACAGGAACTGCTGTGCTGTTCCTGCCACTGAGTGATGAAGGTAGCCTTTATAATTCACAGTCCAATCTTCTCTTCAGCCAGACCTGCAAACCCCAGGCAGAATTCAGTCAGTAGCTTCCGAGTCAGACAGTTTAAGCTGTTTTACACATTGTAAGACACACCACATGTTCAAAGAGTTTGGTAACAGGTCTGCTCCGAGCCCTCAAGCCCGTATCTCGCTGTAGCTGCACTCAACAATCCCGGTCATTCCAGCGCACAGGCTCTTCGGCTCTTCCGACTCTGAAGACATTTTGTGGAAAGCAGTCCCTCACTTGGGACACAGCACATGCCCACAGGGGCTGCTGAGTGAAGGACAGAGACAGACACACACTGACCACTTTTAGCCCACTGCCACCTCTTACCACTGTTTTTTCCAAATCTCTCCCATCTAATCACTCCCAGAGGAAGGAGGTCACTGCTCATGATGAAGCAGCCTCAGGGAATTGGTGCTGAGAGCTCCTGGTCTACTATGAAACACAGGTTGAAACCACATCCCTCACACTTTAACTGTGTGACAGTCAACCCATTTGGCGGAGAACAGTGACTGTACCTGTCACCGGGGACAACACAAATTTATCAGTGCGGTGCTAAAAAACACACCGTGCTGACCCGATCTGACTTACACAGTACTTAATCAGCAAGTGTAATCCTGACCCAGTATCCAGTGGTGCAGGTTTGTAGGGGAAAGCCTTCAGCAGGGGGAGGAGTGGGTGGAAATGGTGCAAAGCTGGAAGGTGCATCCCTCACCGAGGACGGAGGTCCCACCAGGGAGCACTGCCGTCCCACTGGCAGCAGCAGGGTTTGGCACTGGGGGAATAACTGGTGAAGCTATATCTGCTGACAAACATCCCTTTCAAGCCCTGGGGAAGAGGTCAAGTCAGAAATAGTCAAGCAAATACTGAAAACCTAAGTTACCTTAGGTTTTTTGTAATTTAACTTACTTACAAACAGCATTTAAAACAAACACACAAGTTTCCACTGAACTTGTCATGGGGATTAGGGCACATTTTTTCCTCTATTACCTCCATCAGAGCTGGATACTCTTTAATTTCATCTGTACTTTCTACTGCTTTCAGGCTGAATTCTTCTTCTTTGCCTCTGTGAATTCCTCCCTCCACACTTTCGCACACAGGAGAAAATAAAACCAGCAGAGCAGGAAACTCCAAATAGAGTAGGAAACAATTTAAGCCTACACAGGGGTTTCTATTAAAACCCCAGTTCAATAATTTAGTAGCTTGGCACTAGCTCTGTAAATTGGAGTGTGTAAAAAGCAGACCACCACCAACCAGTAAGTTAAATCCAGTGCCTAAAAACATCCTACCTAATGAGACAGTGGCCTGGAGTGGCAGTCAGTCGGAAACCTGCCAAAAGCCAGCATGCCTCATTAAACTGAGCAGTGTGGGGACCCAGGCACAAACCTCCTCTAGTTCTGAACTTCTCATCCACAGGCAGGTTCTCCATGTGGCCTCACAGCACTGCATAAGAGGCAAAGCTTGCACCTACCAAGCTTTTAAACAAAAAACACCAAAGGCCCCCTTTTTTCTTCATTCCAATAACTTCCATCTGCTGACTTTTTAGGCTCCTTGTGTAAATACGTGTAACGTCCACTTACGGGTGAGGAATGCAGGAAGAAGCTGGAGTTGACCTGCAATAGGAAAGAGAAATGTGGAGTGGCTTCCAAGCTCTTTGCTACCTTTGGACACATTCACAATGGCCATAAAAAAAAGCTGCCTCACACAAAAGGAGAAAGGGTGGAAGTGAGTGTTTCCTACAGTTCCCCTACACCTAGCATTCGGGTTTGCCTGCTGAGGGAGCCACGACAGCTGCACAACCAGTGACACAACGGGGAGGACTGAAACTGAGTAATTGTGAGGAAAGGTCAATTTTTACTCAGACTGAGCCTGGTATTTTTAACTATTAAAAAAAAAGGCAACTACATGTTAATTCCTGTAGATAAATGCCAATGTCTCTTTGCAGCTTTCCTTGAAGCAGGCCTAAGTACACACATCCTTCCTGCCTCCTCCCCCTCCAAGCAAGCTCCTCTAATCCCAGTCCTTGTGCTTTTACCTTTCCTGGCATGCAGTCCCATTCCTCTCACACTCAGACAGGTCCTTCATACTCTGAGGGTCAGCCCTATTTACCCACCACAGAGACTAAAACTAGCCTTTGGTAATCCATAATGAGCAGGGAACATGCATAACATCCACTTAATTCCAATCTATTTAATTTCATACAGTACCAATAAAAGCATCTGGAGAAGGGGAGCTGAGGGGGAGTCTGCTCCCCTGCCTACAGCCAAGGCAGTCCATGCTTTTCAAGATACCCTTGAGGGTCAATGAGTGAATCTGCCTTCTCTGAACAGCTCCCATCAACTCCCACCTCCCTGACATGAAGCCCTGCCAAATTCACCTCTGCAAAATGCTCAAGTCTCAGCCTTCTTGTCCATCCCTATCTGTGAAGCTCTCTGGGAAGGGCCAGCAAAACACTCCAGAGCTAGCTGCTCTTCCAGTATCCTACAACCATCTGAGAGTGTTTATTTGAGCCACTGTTTCTGCTCTGTTTGCTTCAAGCCTCCTATACAGCAGGCCACCAAGTTGCAGATAACTTCCCATCAGCTGGTCACTACTCTGAAGCCAGAAGATATGAGAGATGTGAAGCAGCACTGTCACCAGCCCCTTGATGACCACCATCAAGGCTTCATCATCACCCATCTGTCCTTCAGACATATTCACTGAGTAAGCTATAATCATCCCCAACTGAGAGGTACAGAAGAGTTTAGAGAGTTTAAAGGCTGGACCTGAAGCCTGTAAAGAAGCAACAGAACAAAGCAGAGGGCAGAGCCCAGCATGTGAGGTCAGAGTCTTAATTCTCATCAAAACAAGAAGTTCTGCCCAATCTGGACTTGAGAAAAAAAGATTGGTTCTCAGTGAAAGGGTGAGAGCTCCTAATGAATATTTTATTTCTTTCCAAAAATCATTCCTCCTGTTAAAGCAACAAACCTGAGGCTGGACATGCCCAGAGTAGAAGACAGGATTTTTTTTCCCTTCCTGTGTTGAAAAGCATATTTCTTCATGTTTTTCTTTCAGAAGTATAGTGTATATATATATAGTATATATATACTTCTATAGTATATATAGATATACTACATATATATATACTTCTTTCAGAAGTATATAAAAATGAACAAGCCTAAAACTCACCTTCCAGCATGACATGATTTTTTAGTACAGCCAGTGATATTCACAATTTGTGCCTTTTTCTGTTTCAAAGCTCATGCCTCTTCTGTGGCTCAGCAGCAGCGGGACACTAATTCATGCCTCAGTTTCACATTTTAAACATGAAACGACATCTACAGGGCTTTTCTTTCTTCAGATAAAAACAGATTAATAATTACTTCCAACAACAGGGCAAGATGGATATTTCCCCACTTAAATGGGCCCCAGCACAGCCTCTCCTGCTACACCATTCACACTGTCAACCCATAAGAGTCTCCTCTGCATTACACAGGCCTATTTGTAACACCACACTGGTGAAACACTGATATGGTTTGAAGCTGGTTCCCTGCCAAGTCTCCAAACCTTACCACCAGAAGTCCCCCCCCCAAAACCTCAGGGAGAAGAGGGAGAAAAAAACTAAGAAAAACCCGAAACGAGAGAGAGACAACCAAAGTGAGATATATAAATATATTTACACTTATATACAATTTCACAAGGGAAAGGGAAGGGGGAAAGGGAACAAAACTAAAATAAAATATATAGATATCCCAAGACCCAATATCTAACAACTAAAACGTTAGCAAAGAAAAATAGCTCACTACTCCCCTGGGACAACTGAGAGTCGCTCTGGAACGATCGCCGGCAACCTCTGTCTCCCAAGGTCGGCAAGGCCCAACCAGGCCTCGCTCCCCAACACGGCAGACTCAACAGCAGGGAACCTGCACCTCCAAGCCGCTGGAAGGAAAGAGAGCGAAGGCCTCTCCTCCTCTCTTCTTATAATCTGGCTTACGTAAAAATCGTAGGGAATACTGGGTAAATCTGGACCCTTCCTTGGTTACAAACTGGTCACCAAGGAAGGCCTAGCCCAAACCACCACAAACACAAAAACAACTGAGGATACTGTCAGACATCTTGCACACCATAAATTCTTGCATTCGTTTAAAAATTTTTCTTGGCCCACACTGCCAAGCAGAATAAAGACATTAATTTAGCGCACAAAAAGACTGAGGTCAGCACTGGCCACTGCCCAATTCTTTTCAAGAGACCACACTGAAAACAAACCAGTGCCCATATATATACATCTCTTACCTGGCATGGGTTTAT